ATCCTTAGACTTCTCTTTAAACAATTTGGTCCATCTTATATATTAATAATGGAACCACCGCGACTTTTATCACAATATAGTCGTGATTAAATCACGATGATCACATACTAATACACTTAATAACATAGATCAAATATGGAAAATTACATGAAATGTGATCTCAGACATGCATATTTCCAACTGGTCCTTCTTTATTCTTTAGTGAGATAATTTCAAAGTCCTTAATGCAACACGAACATTGCAAATAGAAAACACAAGCAAACTCAGAAACAAAATCGTAAACCATCAATTTTATTCTGCAAAAAATAAACAATCCAATGTCTAGAGAAAACATATAGTACATTAATAAATTACTTCCACTACACCAATGTATCCTCAGAAATAACGCCCATGTGAGTAGTGTGCTCATGAAAGGCCTTAGGCGTAAATCCCTTGATTAATGGGTCCGCTAGCATGGAATCTGTGCCTATATGTTCAATGGAAATCTGTTTATCCCGAACTCTGTCTTTAACAACTAGAAACTTGATGTCTATAAACTTCAATTTGGTTGAGCTCATGTTATTGTTGGAGTAAAGCATTGCTGAGTTATTGTCACAGTAAATCTTTAATGGCTTGTCAATGTCATATACCACTTGCAGCCCAGCGACAAAGTTTCACAGTCATATCCCATGATTAGATGCCTCATAACAAGCAATGAACTCTGCAGTCATGGTAGAAAAAGCTATAAGAGTCTGTTTAGCAAACTTCCATGAGATAGCTCTCCAACCAACATGAAAATGTAGCCTGATGTGGAGCATCTGCTATCTTGGCATCTCGCAAAATCGGAGTCAGATAACTCGATGACCTCTAAACTGTCTGATCTCCGATAAGTGAGCATTTAGTCTTTTGTTCTCCTCAAATAACGTATCACGCATTTAGCTGCCTTCCAATGCTGCATACCTGGATTACTCAAATATCTGCCCAAAACTCCCACTATAAATACTACGTCGGGATGAGTACAAACTAGAACATACATTAGACTCCCTACTACCGACGTATATGGAATCTTTTGCATCTCTTTTCTTTCAAGATCATTATTGGGGCACTGTTTGAGACTAAACTTGTCTCTTTTAGCGATGGGCGTGTCTCCTAGTTTACAATCTTTCATGCCGAATCTACTCAAAACCTTATCAATATA